AACTGCTCTCGCGGTCGACCGTCAAGCTGCCTGACAGTATCCTGATTGTTTCCTGAGCTGTTCTTCACCGTGTTCGTCACTTCTACATAAATCGACTCAATATCTAGGACACAAAGCCTTGTGGTATTGTGATATACTAGATGAACACTTCAAAATTTTGATGTGGATGGCAAAAGTTTCCATAAGTTGTTATCTGTGTACGAGTCAGTGCATCTTTATTCAGTTTACAGTCCAACTGAATACATTAACCTGTAAGTGGGAGAAGTATTGAACAAGAGCTTAGTGAAGAGATGAGCTCAGGATTCTGGTTGTCAGGGTGGCGGTCGACTGGCCCGGTCGACCGCATTCGTGCACGAGGCTTACTGGGCTTCGGTGGTGGTGGCGGTCGACCGACGCGGTCGACCGAAGATGGTAGCGGTCGACCGACGTGGTCGACCGCCGATCTCTCTGGATTCTGGGTTTGATTACTGGATGGTGGGCGGTCGACCGGCCCGGTCGACCGCGATGGATCGCGGTCGACCGTACCGGTCGACCGACGCTGCGGTTTTGAGTTGGGCCTGTTTTCAGACCCGCTTCGTTTTGGATTTGTATAAATACCCTTTGGGTGTTTTTTAGGGTTAAGAGCAAGGACAAATTTGAGCAGATTGAGAGAGTTTTCTTTGGGCTTCTATTCTAGGAGCAATTGGGGAGATTGAGAGTTGATTGTTGAGGGTTTATGAGAGATTTGTAACCCTAGTTTGTTCCTTTTGATTTCTAATAGTGAAAACTCCCCCCTCCTTGCCCCGTGGACGTAGGCATCTTGCCGAACCACGTAAAACTGGTGTTTGGTTGTTTGTGCTGTTGATTTTGGTTGGTTGTTTATCTTTCTTGGCGATTGTTTTGGTTTCTCAAGGCGCAACAATTGGTATCAGAGCTCCGGGCTACGCTTGGGCTATTTTAGAGGAGTAGATTGCTTTGGAAGTACACTAGGGCTTCGTTTGGTGATAAAGGTGGGATCTTTTCAGTGAAAATCTCGTCTTTTTCAATTTGGATCTATTTCTCGTTTGTTTCCGCATTGGTTTGGTGGTGCTTTGAGATATATGGCTAAAAAAGATAAAAGTGGGGAGGGTTCTTCTGGTGTGAAGGCCATCCAAAGTTTGAATATACATTCTATGAAAATAGATGTGGAAAAGTTCAACGGCACAAATAATTTTGGACTTTGGCGATGCGAAGTCATGGATGCGCTAAATGCGCAAAATTTGGAAGATACATTGGAGTTGGACGGAAAACCGGCCGACGTTGATGAAAAGGTTTGGAATAAGATGAATAGAACGGCGTGTGGTGTGATTAGGTCTTGCCTTACCCAAGACCTTAAATATGATGTGATGAATGAAACTTCGGCAAAGAAGATTTGGGAGGTCCTAGAGGGCAAATATGCGAATGTAGATGTCAATGTTGAAGATGAGGACAAGGCATTGTTGTTATTGAGCTCCTTGCCCGACGAGGAATATGAGACCTTCGTCCTCACTCTTATTAATGGAAAGGCATCACTTTCGTATAGTGAGGTCACTGCAGCCCTTGTGAATTATCAACTTCGAAAGAAGGACAAGGAAACTTCCATCGAGCCGGTTGCTGGTGCATTGGTTGCAAGAGCTAGAAGTCCAAACCATGGAAGAAGGTCGCAGTCTAGAGTGGGGCATCCTGCAGTTGGTAGGAATCAGTGTGCCTTTTGTAGAGAGGATGGACATTGGAAAGCCGAATGCCCAAAATTGCAAGCTGTGAAGAATAAAGGGAAAGCTACTCAAGCTTCAGAGGTGAATATTGCGAAGGCTAGTGGCGATGTTTCAGATTCAGATTCAGATTCTTCGGGCTATTCGTGCCCAGCTCTTCCGTCAGTTGATGTTGCCGACTCCACCGAGTGGATGTTGGATTCTGGTGCTACTTACCACATATGCCCTAGAAGGGATTGGTTCTCCAGCTTTCAAGAGTTGGAAAGAGGAGATGTTGTTCTTATGGGTAATGATCACAGATGTCCTATTGGTGGTATTGGTACCGTTCAGATTCGGATGAGTGACGGGATGATCCGGGAGTTGGCTGATGTGAGGTTCGTTCCTCAACTGAGGAAGAACATCATTTCACTTGGGGTATTGAAGGCATCTCGCTTGAAGGTCACATCGGGGTCCATAATTGTGATGAAGGGAGTCAGGCGGAGTAACTTGTATTATCTACTTGGGAGCACGGTAGTTGATAGGGCGCTGACTACTTCTATGGCTAGACTGTGGCATTGTTTGGTGCTGGGATATATTGTTGATTATACCGTGCACAGATTGTTGAGGAGTGCTATGACCTACAGATTGAAGTCCTGTGAGCACATTGGTATGAGCGAGAAGACCGAGGTGGAGTTCAGCACTTCTATCCATCGATCGAGAGGTCTTATTGGAGGTGTTCAGTCAGGCATTTGGGGGCTTTCCGAGGAGGCATCATCGGGAGGTAATCGTTATTTTGTTTCCTATGTTGGGGATTGTACTAGGCATTTTTGGGTTGCAACCAAGTCCCGTTGGTATAAAGCCCTAGTAGTCCGCAACAGTTGGAGGAGGTGTATGGGCAGAAAGGTTACCAGTCATACTTGTTCTAGTAGGTGTCCTTTCTTGCATTGGTGCCGAGTTCACGGCAGTTGGAGACACTTCAGAGGGAAGGAGACAGTGGGGCGACGTGATGAGATGGCAGATTTAGTGAGCCGTTCTTTTCTGGAGGAGAATCAGTATTGGTTGTCGAGCAGTGGATCTGGTATTCAGGCTTCGACAGGTTTGAGTCATCTTATGTGGTTGCCGACTACTGCGTGTAGAGTTGTTAGATCTGGTGGAGCTGTTTTAGATTTTGGTCGGCGTCGGATATTTGGCTACCCAGCACTTGGTCACATCGCTGATGTGAGATTGGATCTGATTGCGCATTTAGGATTCAGAGGCTCGTTCGGCTATCAGTGGGGAGCTTCTGAGTTTGGTCTGAGCAGGTTTGTCACTTTGGACTCTCGGCAGGTGGAGAGTATTGATCAGGTCAGAGGGATATCGCAGCGGGTGGAGGTTGATGCTACTCCACATTGGGTGTGGATTTCCTCACATACTCCAGGTCATTCTGCATTGGTTGGGATTCCAGTTGAGGTGGCACAGCGTGGGAGTCATTTATTTATGGGTGCAGATGATGAGGTAGTTGATTTGGATGCAGCTGATGGATATGTTTTGGATACGGCCATTGTTACATCTCAGGTGGAGGTGTTTGGATTGCTTCAGTTTGAGGTCGTTGATGATGCTATCAGCCGCAGGTTGGATTGAGGGCCTTTGGAGGTCCATTTGGTGAACTACGTGAAGGCTTGATTCCTTGGGCAAGAGGATACGTAGGCAGTCTTTATGATGCAGCCGATTTGGTGAGCTACATCGACATTTGGGGTGAGTGTTCTCGCACTCCCATTTGGGTCTCAGCAAGTGAGACATTTGGTGTAGTCGGTGTAGGCTCAGTTGTTTGGTGAGTAGACACAGTTGGTTTGGGGTTGAGTGTTCGCACTCCCGTTTGGATCTCGACGTGTTGTGATTGGAGTCCGTTGTCATGAGTCCGTTGCCATGGCATACTGGGTGCAACAGTTGAGGTATTGGTTTGATCGGTGTCGGCTCAGTTTGGTAGAATCTTCGCCGAGGTGGAGATTTGAAGAGATAAGCTCAGGATTCAGGATTGTCAGGGTGGCGGTCGACCGGCCCGGTCGACCGCATTCGTGCACGAGGCTTACTGGGCTTCGGTGGTGGTGGCGGTCGACCGGCGCGGTCGACCGAAGATGGTAGCGGTCGACCGACGCGGTCGACCGCCGAACTCTCTGGATTCTTGGAGCTGTTCTGGATGGAGGGCGGTCGACCGGGCCGGTCGACCGCCGAAGTGAGAGAGTTTTCTTTGGGCTTCTATTCTAGGAGCAATTGGAGAGATTGAGAGTTGATTGTTGAGGGTTTATGAGAGATTTGTAACCCTAGTTTGTTCCTCTTGATTTCTAATAGTGAAAACTCCCCCCTCCTTGCCCCGTGGACGTAGGCATCTTGCCGAACCACGTAAAACTGGTGTTTGGTTGTTTGTGCTGTTGATTTTGGTTGGTTGTTTATCTTTCTTGGCGATTGTTTTGGTTTCTCAAGGCGCAACACTTAGTTTGTCAATAAGCTGAAGCATGACTTCGAAGTATTAGATGTAAGCATCATGTATTTTGATTCGTTTACTTTAACTGTTTCTGTGCATAACATATATATTCAGCAACAGAAAGGTAAAACAAAAGAAGATGAGACATTGTTCTGGAGCTTTTTTCAGGTGTCTTCCTTCTATTTTTTGAACAAATAATAAATGACAGACTTTGAGAGACCTTTGGTATAGTTGAACATTGAAGCTTAGATAAACAATGGGGTGACATCTAAAGGAAATATTATTTCTTCTTCCTTCTCATTTCATTTCATGTAACAAATGTAATCGTATGTTTATGTGATAGATATGTTACCTTTTTTATTTCTTACAGCTCCTAAGATAAAAGGATCCGGTGAAAATGGCGTCTTATACTTGGCTGATCCTATAGATGCGTGTTCTCCATTGAAGAACAGAGTGGTTGGAGATTCAAATTCTCCATTTGTGTTAATTATTAAAGGAATTTGCTCTTTTGATGATAAAGTAAGAAATGCACAAAATGCTGGATACAAAGCGGCTATTATATATGACTGTGAAGACAGTATCCCCCTGGTTGAAAGTAATATCTTCTCTCCTTTATGAGCATATCCTTTATAACTGCATCTCATCTTAACACGTTTCCTTCACTTTTTAAGAAGTCGTATAAGTAAAAAATTTTGTGACATCTGTATTATGCTTGCGTGCTACTGTTGAAAGTTGATCTTATTGCTGCTGCTTCAGTGAAATTGTAAACTGTTACATGAGCCTAAACCCCAATTGTACTGAAATTTTTATCACTTACAACAATGCCAACAAATAATACTTGTTTATTACTGTCTAAATCGACAACCTTGATCATCACAAATGACCTCAAACTCAATTTTTATAGATTGAAATGGCTTGCGACCAGCCATCATACTTGTTTACACTTATTACATCCTTTTACTGTAATTTCCCTGGTGAAAATTTAAGTGAAAGATGTGAACTGCAACATTTTAAAGTAATCATGATTACCCACTATCACTTACAACAATCATGTATTGTCGCATCTGCTTAAAGTAATCAATGATCGCTTTTTATCCAAGGCCTCAGTCACTCTTTTTTCCTACTCCCCAATTTCACCCCTTAACCATATACCATCATTAACGTTGCAATTAGCAACATATGATTTATTCTTTTCTAATTGTAGAAATGTTCTTATGTCAACTTTGAGAAATAACTGTTTTGCATGCTTACGATGGTGTTCTTATGTCAACTTTGAGAAATAATCGTTTTGGCATGCCTTTACGATGGTAATCTCTGGGGCGGGGGCGGGGGGGGGTGGGGCTGAAATAGAAAAATTGCTACAATTCTCATCTCATAGTTAAAAGTAATGGCGACTAGACTCGTTATGACTGTTTCTGATCTATAATAGGATGTCTTGAGTGTTGCGCGCCTATGCAGAAGCGTGCTCGCACACTAAACGAATCTGTGATCACGGAAGAAGATGACCAACCACACAAGAGCACAATTCAATCCAAATACGACAAATCAAACCAAACACATAGATATACGTGGTTCGGCAATTTGCCCACGTCCACGAGGAGAGGATGTGAGATTCAACTAAATTAAAGAGAGTACAAAGAGGTTACAAAATCACTCACACAATCCCTAAACCAAATCTCTTAACTTGCTCACAAGTTCTCCCTCTCAATATGCTTAGTACAATCTAAAAGCTCTGTTTGAACTCTCCTCTCATAACCCTAGAGACGAGTGTTTCAATATATATCAAAACACAAACCCAATGTGAACAGGAAACCAAATTCAGGCTCAGCCCGACTTGCGGTCGACCGCAGAGCCACGTGCGGTCAACCGGATCCAACGATAAAAACTTAATATCACTACAATGTTTGGCCGGTCGACCGCCGCGCCACTCGCGGTCGACCGCGAAAAATTCAGAGACTTCTCTAGCTTGCGTGCATGTTTGTGATCGACCGTCACGCCACTCGTGGTCAACCGCTAGAAGTCCAAAGTTGTTTTCTGTCAATTTTCCTATATTCTCTTCAATTCTTCACCTCGGTAAAGTTTTCCAAAAACTGAGCCGACATCAAACAAAAAGCACCAATGCGTCATTTCTCCAAAATCGGCTGCACCAATATGGTTACCTACGTACCCCATCTCCTAAGGGATTAAGTCGTCCGTAGTTCATCCAAATGACCGTCAACGGCCTCAACAGTCACGAATATGCAACAAGTTTCGACAATGATCAAACTTGTTGCTAGGAACCACCTTAGTGAGCATATCCGTCAGATTATCCTTCGTGTGTGTTTGCGTCAAAAATCGTTTTCTTCATTGTATAACTCATTACAACTTCGATCGTTACAATAAGTTCAAAAGATCGGTCTTTTTATAAGACCTTTACACAATAAAAATAAAAGATACAATTCTCGTTCAAACAAAACGCAGAGGACGTTTATCATCCACTGCTTTGCGTGGGATCTTTGCCTGTGCCGGGGTTTATCCGTGGATGACCATCGATCAGATCCGGTTGTTGAAAATTCGACAGAGCTCCGTCTTCGCCGAGGAAGTATTTGATATGAAGCGCTGAGATCGACCAAGTGAAATCAGTAGCTCTTCTCGAGATCAAGACCAAGCCTGATCTCAAGGAAATAGGGGAAACAGGCGTCGGATCTCTCGAACTCTCCTTCTTTATACCGAAGAACTCGCCAAGATCTGTCAACCCTCGCTAAAATTCATGCTCCATTGACTCCTCAATTCGGCAGCACCTCCACATCTTGATAAAAAATCGTCCCCTTTGAAATGAGCCCCTGAGCCTGTATTTATAGGCTTCGGTTGAGGGATTTTTGGATAAGAACAAGTGATTTGGCTCTATCTTCAGTTAACAACAATCTGACCACGTTTGGGGATAATATCAAGTCAGTTAGGAACCCCTGGAACAGATAAATCCTACAAAAACCGCTTTAAAACCGCCAAAACGCATTTCGGGCTCCAGATTGCGCGGCGCGGGTCAGACAAATCTAACCCGCGCTTGCGCGGGTCGGATCAAGTCCGATCCGCGCTTGCGCGGGTCAGTCTGTTCTGTCCCGTGCTAGCGCGGGTCCGTTGCTTCTGCCGAACTTGTATGTTTCCTAACTTTTCTAATTTTCCGGGACTTATAGTTTCCCCCGTTTTGCCCGTTTTCCGCGAGTTGACCGACGCGCGCGAGTTTGACCGATGCGCGCGATTTGACCAACGTGCGCGAGTTGATTGTTGGGCATGTGTTGATTAATGCGCGTGCATATGTTGGCATACGCGAGTTGATTGACGCGCACGTGTTGACCGACGTACGCGAGCTGATTGACCCACGAGCTGATTGACGTGTGCGTGTTGATTAAGGCGCATGAGTTGATTGACGCACGCGAGCTACTTGGCGTTTGCCGTTGTGGTGGTTCGTTGTCGTGTCATCAACGGTTCACCGATTCGTTTCATGCGCTTGTCGGTGTTGGATAATTCTCTTTGACTCGGATAATAACGTTCATCGCCTTCTCTTGGTCTTGAGCTGTATTTGGGGACCTATAGGCAATTTTTAACGCCTACAGTGTGGACCTTCACAATCTACACATCATCATTTTCAAGAACATCCTGAACGAAGTGATAACGAACATCAATGTGTTTCGTCCTCGCATGAAAAACCTAATTCTTCGCCAAATAGATAGCACTCATACTATCATAATGAATAGTGACAGACCGCTGCGATATACCAAGTTCCTCCAAAAGCCTTCGAAGCCAAATAACCTCCTTCACATCCTCCATAATCGTCATATACTCTGCCTCCGTCGTAAACAAAGTCACCGTAGACTGTAAGGTGTATCTCCAATACATCGGCGTACAGGTCAAAGTGAACATATCCCCCGTAGTAGACCGATGCTTATCCAAATCCCCGGCATAATCCGAATCAACATAGCCACTGTACAAATGGCCACCTGTAGTATCCCGCTTATAAACCAAACCAACATTGAGCGTACCTTGAATGTTCCTCAAAATCTATCTCACAGCGTCCCAATGATCCACTCCTGGATTGTGCATGTATCTTGAAACCATGCTCACCACCTGTGATAAATCTGGCCTCGTACATACTATCGCGTACATCAAGCTCCCAACCGCGCTCGCATATGGAGTCTTCGACATAACTCTCGATTTTTAACTGTTTTTGGTAAGAGGTCAGATGAAAGTTTCAAATGGGCTCCCAAAAGTACACTAACTGTCTACGTATTCATGCTAACGTGAAATCACTGTAGAACCTTCTTCAAATAAGCTACCCGTGTCAAATAAATTCTGTCCTTTTCTTTGTCTCTGTCGATTTCTATCTCCAAAATGCACTTAGCCTCACCCAAATCCTTCATCTCAAACTCCTTTGAAAGCTGTGCCTTCAACTCATCTATAGAAGATCTAGAAATAGAGGCAACCAACATGTCATCAACATAGAGCAACAAATAGATGTACGTCCTTTTAACTTGTGAAAATACACGTAAGGATCAAACTGGCTCCGAGTGTACGAATAACCAAGCATAAAACCATTGAATCGCCTATACCACTATCGAGGAGACTACTTTAAATCGTATAGTGATTTCTTAAACCTGCAAACCAGGTTTTCTTTCCCTGTAGCTCAGAATCCTAATGGATGAGTCATATATATTTCTTCATCAAGATCACCATGAAGAAATATCGTCTTCATATCTAACTGATCTAACTCCAATCTATTCTGTACCACTAAAGCTAGCAAAACTTAATCGAAGAATGCTTCACCACTGGAGAGAAAACCTCATTATAATCAATATATTCCTCCTGTGCATAGCCCTTCACAACCAACCTAGCATTGAACCTCAATGGAGTGCCCTTAATGCCCTCATTCTTCGTGTATACCCACTTGCAACTAATTGCCTTCTGCCCCTTTGGAAGTTCAACAAGCTCTTATGTATCGTTCTTGTGAAGAGAGTCCATCTCCTCCTGCATAGCCACCTACCACGAATCAACCTCCGAACTCTGCTTGGCCTCTCTGAATGTAGTAGGCACTAACTCATCGATATTCTCCACCGAAAGTTCATATGTAACTACTGTGTCGGTATACCATGCTGGCATTTGTATGTCTCTCCTCTATCTCTGAACCATAATAGAATCCTGAACCTGAGTCGTCGGTCCTTGATCCTGTACAACTGTACCCGTATCCTCCTCGTTGTCGCCATGTTCGCCTGGCGTCACCTCAGTCGGCACTCTAATGGATATTGTACTATCTGGATAATGTGGAGCTGCATCAATCTCTACCACCTGTGATATCTCCTTTGTTGGGTCGCTCTCTACCTGATGAGAGTTGGGAAGCTTCAAGATAGAAGCCTCATCGAATGTGACGTCTCTACTCAGTACAATCTTCCTATCAACTGGATCCCAAAGCTTGTATCTCTTGACGCCGTGCTTGAATCCTATAAATATGGTCTTCCTAGTTCGAGGTTCTAACTTATTAGTTTTCACATGATAGTATGCAGGACACCCAAATACCTTGAGCTGGTTATAATTGTATGTTGGCTCTCCCGACCACATCTCCAAAGGGGTATTCCTCTTAATCGCAGATGAAGGCAGCCTGTTAATGAGGTGGCTCATATATGAAAGTTCCTTAGCCCAATGATCTTCTCCAAACCACTATGTACCAACAAACATTGGATCTTCTCTAGCAAAGACCAATTTAACCTCTCTGTCATGCCATTCTGCTGTGGTATATGACTAACTGTGAAATGTTTCTCTATGCCCTTGTCTCGACATAGCTGCTAAAACGGTCTGATGTGTATTCACCACCGTTATCGGATCACAACGTCTTAATCTTTCTCCCAGTCTGTAATTCCAACCTCTTCTTCCACTTCACAAATATATCTAGGACTTCACTCTTCTTCCCCATGGTGTACACCAAACAATGCTTAGAATAGTCATCAACGAACATAACAAACCAATGTCGACCACCAAGTGATGCAGTCTTGGTGGGACCCCAAACGTTTGTGTGCTCGTAGTACAGGATGCCCCTCGTCCTATAAATTACAGTCCCGAACTTCACCTTCGTCTTCTTGACAAATATATAGTGCTCACATAACTCAACCTTTCCACTCTTAGCCCCCTTCAATAGCCCCTGCTTGCACAACGCCTGCAGTGACTTCTTTCCTATGTGCCCTAATCTGTAATGCTAAAGTCTGCTAATATCCGCCTCTGAAATAACTAAAGTAACCTGGCCAATCTCGGTGCTCCCCTTCAGATAATATAACTTTTAACTACGGACTTCCTTCATCACCATCAAAGTTTCCTTAGTAACATTTGCTACAGCATTCTCAAAGGTCATCTTGAATCCCTTTGCCTCCAAAGCTCCAACTGAGATAAGATTCTTCTTCAACTGAGGAATAAATCTCACCTCCTTTAATTTAAGGACTACTCCATTGTACATCTAAATCCTCATAGTATATATCCCACAAATACTATAGGATTGATCATTTTCCATGACAACAACACCCCCATCGAGTCTCTCAAACGATAAAAACCAATTTCGCCTAGGAGTCACATGATAAGTAGCATCAGAATCAAGCATCCAATCTGATACATCCAAGTGGTTCACCTCCGAAGTAATCAATAGAAAAAAGTTCGAATCATTGGAATTATCGTCTTTCACAATATTCATCTCATTGGTCTTCGGGCCCTTCTTACTATTCTCCTTCTCCTTGATCTTTGAACAGTCTCTCTTCTAATGTCCCTGTTCCTTGCAGAATACACATTGGTTCTTTCCTAGCTGGTGATGGCCTCTTGACTTTGACCTGTCTCTATTGCCACATGTCGGATATAGGCTTCTTCCCCTCGTAGACAAGATCTCTCCTGAAGTACTAGCACGGAAAGTCTCCTTATCCTTCCTCCTCAAATCATAATTCATCAAAATGTTAGTCACTTTACTATAAGTGATAAAAGATCTTCCGTTCAACAATGTAAGTACGAAGGTATCATACTCCTCATTTGGTAAGGAGCCCAAAAGAATAATAGTCTTGTACTCATCCAATATCTTTTCATCCACATTGGCCAAGTCTGACAACAACTTAGTATAGTTGTTCATATAAAATGCTAGTGAGGTATCCCTGGACATCTAAAATCTGAATAACCTACACAGCAAGTGTAATCTGTTCTCAACATTCTTCGTAAGGTACTTGTTGTTGAGAATTTCTCACATCTTCATTGCAGACGTCATCCCAATCACATCATATTTCAGCTCCTGTTCCAAACAAGATCTGATCATCTCATAAGCATTCCTATTCATCTTTTCTCATATCGCCTCTTCATATTTTGGTGGCCTCTCATGGACCATGATGGTCTCCTCCAAATTCTGAGCATTTAGCACATCCTGAACATCACTCATCCACAAACCAAAATTAATCTTTCCGTCATACTTCACCACACTAATCTTAGTGTTCTGAAACCCAACTTGAACTGTACCCGCCATCTTGCTACTTTCACCAACTTCTTCACCTATAATCACAAATTTTACATTGCAAAGAAAGATTCTAACTTTGAAAGGATTGAGGAATTATCCAACTGAATCCTAGATTGGATTCCAAATAGACCTCCTAGCCACATGAGGAAAGCGAGATCTTCAACAGCAACTCCAAACCCTATCTCCACTGAAGCCTAAAACTCCAAGAACCAAGCTTCCAAACTGAATCTTCCTCCACCTAATCCAAAACCCTAGATCTCAAATCTGATCTCTGATATCAATTATTGCGCGCCTATGCAGAAGCGTGCTCGCACACCGAACGAAGCTGTGATCACGGGAGAAGAGGACTAACCACACAAGAGCATAATTCAATCCAAATACGATAAACCAAACCAAACACAGAGATATACGCGGTTCGGTAATTTGCCTACGTTCACGGGGAGAGGATGAGAGATTTCACTAAATCAAGGAGAGTACAAAGGGGTTATAATCTAACAAAATCACTCACACAGCTCCTAAACCAAATCTCTCAACTTGCTCACAAGTTCTCCCTCTCAATATGCTCAGTACAATCAAAAAATCTTTGTTTGAACTCTCCTCTCATAACCCTAGAAATGAGTGTTTTAATATATATCAAAACACAAACCCAATGCGAACAGGAAACCAAATTCAGGCCCAGCCCGACTCACGGTCGACCGCAGAGTCACGTGCGGTCGACCGGATCTAACGACAGAAACTCAATATCACTACAGGTGTTGGGCGGTCAACCGCCGCACCACTTGCGGTCGACCGCGAAAAGTCCAGAGACTTTTCTAGCTTGCGTGCATGTTAGCAGTCGACCGCCACGCCACTCGCGGTTTACCGCTGAAAGTCCAAAACTGTTTTCCGTCAGTTTTTTTGTATTCTCTTCATTGAGTTCCTATTTTTTGTCTACCAAAAGGGTTGCCCAGTGCACAAGGCTCCCATTATTGTGGGCTTTGGGGATGATTGGATGCACGCAACCTTACCTCCGATTTGCAGGGAGGCTGATTTGTTGTCTACCAACATTCTGCAATTTCTAGTTACTCTATTTTAAAGTGATGTCCTACTTACACTCATTCAATTATAAATTTGACTTGTTATTACATATAAGACCTGGGATTTTTGAGTTACACATCAATAATAGAATTTTTTTGAGGTTTAGGTTTAATTTCCTTTTCTATTAGATACCTTTTCTATTAGATACAGCCAGCCTTTGCTTTCTGATACCTACGGATACTAATTCAATTATTTCATTGTGGAACTATTCAGTGAGAGGAACCCCAGATGGCATCAAAATACACTCTGTCTTTATATCGAAAACCTCAGGCAAAATGTTGAAGGAATACATAGATCGCTCCGATGTTGAGACATGGATCTTATCCAACTCTGAAAACCGCCCATTGTCTATAAAGGTTGTTTCTTTCTTAGCACTACTTGCCGTTGTTGTTGGGATGGCTACATGTTTGCATGGGCGCAACATAATACATGAGAGGTTTATAGTTTCTCGAGTCCAAGAGTTTCATGGAATGAGTCGTAGTTTGGTGAAAGCGATGCAGAGTATGAGATTCACAAATGTTTTGGAGGACAATTGTACTTCGAGTGCGTGTGCTATTTGCCTGGAAGACTATAGTACAGGAGAAAAGCTTAGAATTCTACCATGCCACCACAGTATGTCTCTCGTCCATAACAACAGTTATTTACTATCTATTGCCTTTATATGAAACACAAGATCTTTAATTTTAGTTTTTCACTTTTTTTTTGTTTTACGTTTTAAAGGTGAATCGCAAATACACCCACCTTACTATAGGGGGTTAGCTACTTGTTGCCACTAACGCTTTTTTGTTAACACTTTGACCCCTGATCTTGGAACAGAATTATCGCTCCATTATCTGTACTTTCTTCTTCTTTTTTTTCATTTCAAAGATGAATCACAGGTTATTCTTTTTCTATATTGAGATATGCTCGACATGTAGGTACTAGAGTCGTTTAAGAACATGCTTCGCTTTCCTGGTCTATGGTTTACAATTGCTAACAGACACTATTCCCTTCAATTTTTCTTCTTTTTTCGCTATGCTTGTAAGCGAAGTCTTGAAATTTTGCACTAAGAGGGAACCATATATACAACAATTCTACAATGAATACGTAATTAAACTACATATAACATAAGCTCATCTACAAGTTGCTTAGGATAAACTGCGTCTGTGCCATCCATATTGATGATGCTAGTGGTAAATTATGCCTGCTTTGTTGATTTTGTATCCTGTTAACTCCACATCAATAGTGTATGAAAATGCACAAGATGACATGATACAACCAACAGGATAAACTTGATACTGATATATGAATGGATTATTTTGGTAGCTGCCTCAAGTAGATAAAACTTCATAAGGTTGTGCGTTATGTATTGCCTGTTTTTGTCAAAGGAGCTATCATTTGGATTTGGCAATGGTGAGTGCTGGCTTCTTCTATGTCATTTTGATGACTACATGGCTGCATCTGGATTGCCTGGATCCAGACCTACATAGCACCAACTCGAAGATTTTGATCCATACACAGCCATTCATTAAACTGGGTGGATTAGGCTAGGGTATTTGTAGGTAGGGTTCGAAATAAATCTAGTAGGATTCATATTATTGAACATTAAACTATACTTTTAAACTAATCTTTATTGGGTCTTCGGATTTGTTAAGATTTGTTGGATTGGTTCCAAATTTGAAGTTAGAGCCTGCTAGTTGCAGTTTAAGCGCCTTTCAGGTTATTTTATACCTATGCGCAAACAACAGATCTAAATTTATGATTTGGCACAAGGCAAAAGTGGGTCAAATCTAGGTCGAGTGAGCAACGTGAACCCACTTTCAGGCTTACTAATGAAATTAGATAAAACAAACTCCTGCAACATTTGACTATTTCAAAAGAAAAAACTCCCACAGCGTATGAAATTGCCGGTCTTTTTCTGATTAAGCATAGGGAAGCATCGGTGTTGTACTATAAGAGAAATCATAATGCAACATCGGATGTTAGGCACAGGAAAGAGTAAATGGAAAGGGAACTAGAGCAATGTTTAAGGAGACACCTTAAGATAATTTTGGTGGATTTTCAATAAATCCAAGCAAAGATTGATCTCTAACTCAGCAACTGTAGGCAGTAAAAAATGCCAAGAAACAAGATAGTGACGAAGCTCGTCATTGGAGACAATGTTTGAAGGTCCTCGAGAAGACGAGGTTTGAAGGTCATCACTAGGGAAAAAGCTCCTTTAGAAGTCGAAGCTCGTCATTGAAGATGAGGCTCGTCATTGGAGACAAGGTTCAAAGGTTGTCACTGGGGACAAAGCTCCTTTAGAAGACGAAGCTCATCATTGAAGACGAGGCTCGTCATTGGAGACGAGGTTTGAAGCTCGTCATTGGGGACAAAACTCCTCTAGGAAATGAAGCCCTTCAGGAGCCGAAGTTCATCCATAGACGAACCTCGCAAAGCAACGCCTCACCCCTCAGAAGATGAACTTCGTCATTATTGAAGATGAAGTTCGCCCAGAAACGAGGCTCGTCATTGAAGACGAAGTTCACCCAGAAACGAGGCTCGTCATTGAAGACGAAGCTCGCCTAGAAACGAAGCTCGTCATTGAGGACGAAGCTCCTTCAAAAATTAACTTCGTCATTGAAGAAAAAGCTCGCCTAAAAACAAAGTTCACCACTGAAGACGAAGTTCGCCTAGAGACGAGGCCCTCAACGCCTTATCCTTCAGGTGAAGAAGCTCCTTCAGGAAACGAAGCTCGTCGGTGAAGACAAAGCTTTTGTGAAGACGAAGTTCATCAGAAGAAGTCCACAAGGCTTGCTACGTAGCTGGACTCAACCATCAAAGACGAAGCTCACCATATAGCGAAACTCGCTTTGTTAGACGAACCTCGCTGCGCATTAAGGCTCGTCTCATCTAACGAACCTCGCCACGCAGCGAGGCTCGTCTCACCGAATGAAGCTCGACTATAATGGTCTTGAAGACTCAATCAACCCACGTGGGCTAAATTCTAGGAGACAATTACGCTCTTGATCCCACGATTAGCGCGTCAGTTACGCGCTAGAGGCCTATAAATAGCCGCAAGCAGCTATAAAGAAAATGGGAGGGAGAGACTAACTTGGAGAGAACAGAGAGCAAGCACTCACATTCTGAGGCGCTCCTTTGAGATCCGAACCTCGATTCTTATGATTAAAAGCGATCAACAGAGGCTAAATCCTCTTCTCGAATTGAAGGGATTTTGTTCCGATCGTTAACGGGAAGCAAGCTCGACTCAAGCATCGAGTGAGGCATCCTTTTGCCACCTAGAACTCATGTTAAACAAAGGAGAAGTAGAACCAACCTTCTTCTCTTTTGTACTTGAGAAAGAGCGATTGTAAACGGATTCTTACCAGGCGATAGAATCTTTTCTCAAAGCTAAAACAGTTAAGGGAAACAATCATTTTTAAATCTTTTTTCGGGACCCTACAGAAGATGGCGATCACAATAGGAGTGCTCATTTCTCTAATGAAATGATCATAACGCAGTCGGACAAGATCGCCGTGGGAACCAACATCGAGACTCTCATCATCGATTTTGACTAGTCCAATTACGAGGAGCTCCTCTCCTCTCGTACTTCGAGTCCCACCAAAGCACGCAAGTGCCGTAAAGTCTCTTACAAGATTCTAGCCAATTTGGCTTCTAACAACTCAACTCGAGTTTGCCTCGAGGAGAGATCTTCGCCTCTGAATCACGAGGCTCCGAAACTTAGCCGCCAGGCTAAGCAATGGGTCGTCAAGCAATCCAAGCAAACTCTAATTGCTACGGAAGCCCGCTACTCATCGGTTATCAAAGAGGGCAAGACGTCGTCGATGCCAGAATCAGGCTCACCGTGAAGCTCGCGTCTTAGTCTCTATGGATGGCTTCTATTATCAACCATGAGACGACATGGTTAAGGCTCGCAAGTCAGTCGAGACCCTCCCATCTGAGGTGAGTCAAAATGACGAACTCTGTTCACAGTGCGAAGCTCACCATCAATGCCCAAGCGTCTAAGTGCGCTCAGATGACGAGCCTCGTTTTCAACATGAGGCTCATCCAAGACAACAAGTGTGTCTCCCTATCCAAGTTCGCCCCGCTATTGAGGCTGGCAAAACTGAGGTGCATCAAAATGACAAGCCTCACCTCTAGCATAGAGCTCACCCCACTACTGGGTCACCTTCAAGTTGCCAAGTCAAGGTTTGACAAAGACGTCCAAAAGCTCCGTCTTTGAGCAGTTATCTGAACTACCGGAAGCTCCGTCATCCAAAAGAAGACGCTTTCATCTCAGGAGACAAACTCCCAAAAATGAACCCGCTAGAGTTATGGTCAATATGGTTAGCAGAGGAAAAGGCAAATGCCCAACTCACTTTTCTGACTCATCTGATCTCGAGTTCTCTCCGGGGCTGAAGGGGTTGCTTATTAAAGAGGAGGGTGTCTTCCGATATACCCGCACCCGTACTGGCTCAGTAACTCCATTGGATTACCGGCATTGAGTGTACATCTTTAACAATGCTGACGAGGAGCTTGACAACTCAGCTATTGTCACTTCCCAAGCATCTAGCATTGATCAAAGTGAACGTGCGAATGTTCATATAGCCGGAATTGTAGAGGACTTGGCAAAAAGACTAGAGGAGCAACAAGTTACTCTTCTCCAACAACAGGAGACTATCATGCTCATGAAAGAGACGATGGACAAGCTTGTTAAGTAAAAGGAGGAGGAGAAGAAGAAGAAGAAAGGTCTCAGTAAAGCCTCGGGATCAGGATATCGACGACTTTCACCTGAAGTTGGGGGATCTAGCCGTCCAAACAAAGACATCACAGACACGGGGGGTGATGAAGAGGAAGCTCTGAAAGCTTATTCTAAATCATCAGAACTTGAATCCAAGCCTCGCAAGAAAGACTGAGACCAAAAGTTAGACGACTTTCAGAAGCAACTTGACGCTTTGAAGCTTCAAAGAAATTTCAAAGAACTGGGGGTGATTAGACCGTACCCTGCCAAATGGGACATTGTTCCTTATCCTCCAAAGTTCAAACCACTTAGCCTCCTACAGTTTGACGGCAAGGGCTTTCCTATCTAGCATATCTATTACTTTCAGACACAAACTGGGCATATAGCGAGAAATGATGTCACGCCCCGCTTCCCAAAATACTCGGGAATCGGAACGCGAACAAGTCCGCGACGTATTAGATTGAGAAGAAATATACACTACTATTTTTTTTCTTTTCTTCTCAATCCAATACGCTAAGCGTCTAGAAACAAGTACAATACGAAGCCACAGGTCCCCGATCACACATAGTAAGAATATAAAGACAACCTAGAATAAAATAGACATATCATCAATGGTAACTCATCCCAGACATTAAAATATGGGTCAAACACACCCTTATAAAAAAATGGTTCAACTAGGAATAAAATACATATTCCATAATAAAAGTACTGATAAAATAACTCAATTCATTATCAACTAAAGAAATACTGTAAAAGAGTTCTAGTGCTCATCAACTACTACAGAAAGAAAAGTCTAAGCTTCAGATTGTTCTTCTGATCCATCTGGAAGACCTTACTGATGCAAATCCTTTGGCTCCTGTACTATCCCGAACTGAGGCTGTCCGTCTCCTAAATCTGACGTACACCCAGAAAA